TAGATCAGATATAGATCAAGCCAAAGATCAGACATAGATCAGACATAGATCAGACACATAGATCAGACACAGTCAAAGATCAGACACAGTCAAAGATCAGACATAGATCAAGATCCGATTAAGATCAGACATAGATTAAGATCAGCAAAGACATAGGTTAAGATCAGCAAACTATTGCTGACCTCATTTTTTCTAATTCTGAGAGTTGTATATCTATGAGCTATTCTAGACCATTTTCGATAGCTTCGACGGTATTTGGGCGCCACCCAAACTAAAATTTGAGAACCTCTTTTTTTTTTTTACATTTTTGATGGCAAATATATATTTTTTTTTGCAAAAAAAACGTAAATTTTCTGCTAAAGTTTGCCGGTATAAGGGGGTAATGCCCCCCAAATTTTATATATATATATATATATATATATATATATATATATATAAAATTTGGGGGGCACACACATACACATATATACACATATGTATATATGTGTATGTGTGTATATGTATATGTATATGTATATATATATATATATATATATATATATATATATATATATATATATATATATATATATATATATATATATACATATACACACATACACATATATACATATATATATATATATATGTATATATATATATATATATATATATATATATATATATATTATATATATATATATATATATATATATATATATGTATATATATATATATATATACATATATATAAATATACATATATACATACACACACACACACATACACACACACAGATATATATATATATATATATATATATATATATATATTTATATATATATATATATGTATATATATATATATATATATATATATGTATATATATATATATATATATATATATATATATATATATACATATATATATATATATATACATATATATAAATATACATATATACATACACACACACACACATACACACACACAGATATATATATATATATATATATATAATATATATATATATATATATATATATATATATATATATATATATATATATACCTAGTTTTACATTGTAGTCACAAAGTTTTTTCCATAAACTGTCGTTTTAAAGAGCGTGTTAATAAGCCTGACCAGAAAATATTAAAAAACTTCAAAAAAATTTTTTTTTTTCAAATGATAGACTGCTTGCCCAAACCAAACCCTCAGTCGACGTAGCAGCACTCACTTGCGAGTCAGGTTATTTGTCAGTTGATGTAGCAGCACTCCCTTGCGGGTCAGGCTATTTGTCAGTTGATGTAGCAGCACTCCGTTGCGAGTCAGGCTATAAGATAGTTGATGTAGCAACTCTCCCTTGTAGCAGCAGGCTATAAGATAGTCGATGTAGCAACAATTACGCATGTTTTAAACTTGTTTTTTAATAAAGGTGTAAATGGTATTCTGTCCCTCTTTTTAATGCGAGCATAAAAAATATTTTGAACTTTTATTATAAGATTTAAGAAAGTTTTTGTATCTGTTTTTATAAAATTAAATAATAAAGTTTTTCTACCTGTTTTCAATGCAGGCGTAAAAGGTTTTCTGTACCTGTTTTTTTATTGCAGGCATAAAAAGACTTCTGCTTTTTGCAAAAATGTTTCTGGTCTTTAAATTTTTAGTTTTTTGAAAACTGTAAAACTGATTTGATCACTAAAGGCAATAGTTGTTATTCAATAAAAAACATTTATGTTGATCTTGAATTAGGATGTAAATCATATTGTAAGACCGCATTACTATTATTTATTACTATATACTATTATAAGTACTATATTATTACTATTATTTTTATTATTATTAAAGATTATGATTTAAAGTTTAATATTTTAATTCATTTTACAAATAAAACTAGAAAAATAAAGACAAAGCTAAAAAAATAAAGGACAATAAAGCACAATATAGTCATTAAAAAACAACCGCTTAGCACAACAGTCTAAAGTAATTTATTGGTGATCAAATATTTTAAATAAAAGAAATAAGATACAAAATACTTTTAAATAAAAGAAATAAGATATAAAATACTTTTATAATTTAAATCTAATTCAAAATATTCTTATAAATTAAATGCTCGAATCTCTTTTGCAGATATGTATAAAATTAAAAGGAAGAGGAGTTTAAAAATATATAACAATGTAATACTTTTATAATTATCTTAAAATAAAAAAAAACTCAAATAAATTATTTTAAAATATATCTTATTTTTTATTATTATTTTTATTATTAAATAACTAATTTCTAATTTAAAACATTTAAATTTTTAAATGAATAATATCTTAAACTTTCCACCTAAACAAAAATCATATATGATAAATTATATATCAAAAATATAACTATGCTTTAGCATAGTTTTTTATTAGTTAATTTTTAAATTACAGCACAAATATTTCGGATGTTTAGTAATAATAATTTTTGTCTTACAACTTTTATTTTTTAATTTATAATCCCATGGTGTTTAAAAAAACAATAATTAAAAAAATGTAAGTTTTGACTGTTATTATTTTTGCAGTAGTAAATTTATTGTTTTATTTTTTCATTAAAGAGATAAATAGACCGTTTTATTAAAACAGTGTTCAAGGTTTTAATAAACTAAGAATTTAATAATCAGAAATATGTCCGGATATTGAAATTGGCGATCACTTAATTCAAGCCCTGTATAGATAAAAAAAGCTGTGTAAAGAAATAGTTTGAGTATGGTGTTTGAGTATGGAGTATGAAGTTGTTTGTATTGTATGAATAGTTTGTATTGTATGAATAGCTTGAGTATGGAGTATGAGTTTGAGTGAAATTGAACTTCTACCCTCTTGATTGTGAGCTAATATCACAGTGTGTATCAATTTCACGATTAGTGACTGAAGATTATTAGTTTATTAATGATCATCACACTAAATATCATAAGCCTAATCCAACCGACCATGCTGGCTCTAAAGCTCAAAACCTTTTCTCTTTGTCATCCTTTCTTTTAAAAATAATATACTGTCATAAAGACTGCAAGCAATAACTAATTAAGTTATGATTTATCAGAAAAGCAAAGAATAAAGAGTTAAAGAGAACATTTGACAGAATACTTTAAATTAGTAAGGAAAACGTAAAGGATGAAAATTTGATGAGGAAGAAAAATAACTAAATAAATAAAAGTTTTAATAGCATTAACAGGTACAGAACAAGAATGAAATTTGATAAATAAAAAATTATGCAAGAATGAGTTTTTGTTGATAGAACAAGAGAACATGATTATTTGTAAAAAAATAGAAAGAAATGGAACTTTACAATGAAGAGACTGAGTCTAAAGTTTGGCATCCAGAAGAGAAAAAATTAGATTTTAAATAAGTTTTTTGAGATTGTCTCAAGGAAAAAAATCAGCTCAAATATGACAACATTCGATACAGGGGAAAATTATAGATTTATAAAGGTAGAGAATGGAATCAGCTCAAATATGACAATATATCATACAGGGAAAATCATACCATACATCGAATATGACAACATACCATACAGTGAAAATTATAGATTTCTAAAGGTAGAGAATAGAATCAGTTTGAATATGACAACTTAGGAATTAGGAGTATGAAAATAGTGAACAAGCTAAAAACCTTAGCAGATGTTAAGATAAAAAATACTTTGCAATCGATTGCATATATGGTTTTCATGAAAGGTCAGTAATTAATAACATACCTTAAAGATATAAAGTAGATAACTCAGTATAGGTGTTACAAAGTTAAATTTGTGGCTCTTTCCAGAAAACACTAATCACTAACCTTTACTACTTGATTTCAACTCTTTCCATGCTTGATTTCAGTTTTTCCTTGTTCTCCTATAAACGGTTCAAATCGTGGCAACAAAAACTTGTATAATTTTTTTATATCAGAATCACTCATCATTACTCTTTTTACTACAACATAGTAATAAGTAATTATGATTCATGGGCTGATATTTTTGTCTCTGCTAAAAACTGTGCCTTATCTAAAAATAAAGAAATAATAATAAAAGCATTCAGGTAGGTATGAATGCTTTTATTATTTTGCCTCAGTTTCAAGTAAAACCACTGCCAGATGTTTTTCTCCTTTATTTGCAGCTGTCATTACTAATTGTAGTTATTTCTTTTATATTTATTACAAGATCTATTGAAAACAAAAATATTTTCATCATTGCAAAAAATTAATACAAAAAGGTATTGTCTGATGCTAAGGTTTCCTATACTGAAATAATTTATACAGGTTTGATCATTTACTAAATTTTATAATGACACACTTCCTATTATATCACAGAAAGACAGTTTAATCCCTAAAATCCACTGCCTATAATATTTATTTCCTCTCTAAAGCTTGTGGTTTGGACATTCTTGTCACATTTTTACCATAGTGTTCTCCAGAACTTGATTCTCTTATTCTACTGTTAACTTGGTAACATTTTAAAAATTTCGATGACCATTAGATGAAAAATCAGTGACCAATAGAAAGAGTGTATGCACAGACAGTTAAAAGCCTGTCTAAAGCAAAGTTTGGCTAGGCAAATTAATCTTTATGGCTTTTTGCGAAGGCTTTTATTGCTTTCTTAGAAGTTTTCATTGTTTTTATAAACAAGATCATTGATTAATAGGGTAACTATTCAGAATTTGTTTAAATTCATTTATTTTTAAATAAGTATGATAATCTTTGTTTTATAATACTTATAATACTTTTTAGTATTATTAATTTTACTTTATCTTGTATCTATATTTATTCTTAGTGTTCAATAGTCAATTAAGTTGAGAATCACATTTTTCAAACTGATTTATTTTTTATCTTAAAGGACATTTGGTAAAACCTTTGTTTAATGTTAACTTGATATACTTATAGATACAGCAACGGTTAAATCACAAAAATTACATAACTATCTTATCTCCTACAGAACAAAAACTATTACTGAAAAATAAAAAGCATAAAATTAATACCACAATAAATAAAGTTAACTAATTAAAAAACAAAGATATTTAATTACCTTATGCTTTCTGGAATAGATATGTCTAAAATTAAAAAATTTATTATTTGCAGTTTTATTACCATTAAATTTTGAAGTTGAAAAATTATAAAAAACTTTGAACAAAATAAAAACACAATATTTGGTTTGCTATGTATTTAAGTTATATTTTAAATTTTTTACTCCTATGCTTTAATATGTTTTATATGTTTTGCATAATCTTATTAGAATATAAAAGTAAATAAAATAAACAAAAAATGTTATTACTGTTTAGTTATATCATCTTAAAACTTACTTGATTCTAACCACTGAAGGCTTAAAGTATTTTAACTTTTTTTTTTTAATTAGTCTTATGAAATTAAAAAAAAGCTGACGCTACAAAAATACAAAAAAATGTTTGTAAAACATTGCATAATCTTCTAATAATAAAATATATGAAAAATTTCAAATATAGTTTTATCTTTTTATTTACTTAAAATACTATTTAGATTAAAAAGTATTTTTTTAAATATAGCTCTATGAAATTGCAGTGGTCACAGCCAACCACTGTTTATAATTTTTGACAGAAGTTCATTTGCCCTCTCATGCATGAGGGAAAAAAGTTGGTTTTGGGAAGCATGTTTTGGGAACAGTTAAAGAAGTCTGTATGTTATACATACAGGGTCTGTATATATACATACAAGGCTTATCTATTTATTTCATTTACATACACATATATATATATATATATATATATATATATATATTTTGAATGTAGACATCATGTATGAGAGTATATAAATTATTATTTTATAAACATCAATAAATAGGATTTTCTCTTAATACAAAATTTATTTTTTAAAAGAAATTTTTGCTGGATTGTTGTGACCAACATCTAAAGCTTAAAAGTTTTTTGTTTGATTTTGTTTATATGCTATTTTAAAAAGCGGTGGTTCTATTTTATGTTGATGGGATGGTTTCGCCTTTTTCTGACATAAGTGTCCTAGAAATGGTATCTTAAATTTTGCTGACACATATTGTCCCTCATCTAAATTGATACCATTTTGTTAAGGGACACATCGGTGGTACTGTATTTAAAGTATCTCACAAACTTTCCTATTAAACTTTTTAACAGTCTTTTAGAGTTCTGCAAATGTCCTTGTTAATTTGTTGTGTACAATGTCTCATGTGTGTGGCTCATGCAGATCAGAAATTTTGGAAACTATTTCTAGCATACTTACATCGGAAAAAGACGAAACATTCCCATTGACATAAAATAGAAATGTCGTTTTTAAAAACAACATAAAAACAAAAACAAAAAACTTTTAACTGAAGAAGTTGGTCACAATAATCCAGTGAAAATTTATTTAAAGAAATAAATTTAGTATCGAGACAAAATCGTATTTATTAATGTTTATAAAATAATAGTAATAATCATAATAATATATACATCAATATATACATATATACATATATATACATATATATATATATATATATATACATATATATATACATATATATATATATATATATATATATATATATATATATATATATATATATATATATATAAATATATATATATATATATATATAAATATATATATATATATATATATATAGATACATATATATATACATATATATATATATATATATATATATATATATATATATATATATATATATATATATATATATATATATTATATATATATATATATATATATATATATGTATATATATATATATATATATATATATATATACATATATATATACATATATATATATATATATATATATATATATATATATATATATATATATATATATATATATTTATATATATATATATATATATATATATATATATATATATATATATATATATATATATATATATATATATATATATGTATATATATACAGGGCTCAAATTAACGCAAAAAAAAATCTAATTGCGAAAAAAAAATAATTTTACAACCCCTCCCCCCTCCTTATACCTTGCGCTGCTTTGCGGTAATGGGGGGGGGGAGAAAAGTTGCGTTAGTATATAATTGTAAGTTTTGTATGTAATTGTTCTATTTTTAACATATTATCTCTCATATTTAAATATAATCTTAGAATTTGCTTGTTTGACAGAGTTTAAAATAGCGTAAGTTACTATTATTATTTACAACTTAAGTTATAACTTAAAGTTTTAGTTGCAGTTGTAATAAGCAATAACGTTTTTAATACTACAAAGATATTTCTTTAAGTATATTTTTACTTAACATTTAAAACATAATTAAAAAAGTAAAAGTAAAAAAGTAAGAGAAAAAGCAACATTACAATATCTAAACCACTTTAATTAGTCAAAGAAAACTATTTAATATGTTCATCCAGCAGGCCTTGTTTTAAAGCGTTACGCATAGAGCGATTTACGTACACCTTAAGCAATTTTTACGTACGCGTAGAGCTGTTTTGGTTAAGCTACTTTTTATCATTTTTTAACTTTTAAATTAGCGGTAACATTAAAGAACTAATTAATTTTTAAAAAAACCACATTAACTTTTGAATAACGATATGTAAAAATATTTATTACAAAAAAAAAAATTATGTTAAAAATAATTGAAGTAACTTTTTATCGCGACACATCATACGTTTTTATAAATTTTACGCTTAACTTTTTTTTCAAATATTTAGTAACATGAAAAGTTGTTTGTCAATCCTTAACTACAAATTTTTTGCAAATGTTTTTAATAAAAAGTAGTAACTTTTTAAAGCTTTCAGTAAAAAACTTTTGAAAAATCTAAATTCCAAATTTATTAATACAGAACATAAATGTTTTTTGAAATATAGATTTTTTAAGAGTTTTTTACTAAATTCATATTAAAAAACATTTGCAAAAAATTTGTAATTAAGGGTTGACATTTTTTTAATATATCAAAAAACGTCTTAATATTTTTGTTATCATAATAACAAAAATATCAAGACATTTTTTCAAGATAAAAAAAAATGTGCCAATGAATGAACAATCTATTTGTATTTTTCTAAAAATTACATTAATTATTACTCTTTGCTTTTCTTATTAGTTAAAGGTATATAGATACCTTTGCTTTTAAGTTATACAGGGGGAGGGGGCCAGCACAGAAAAAAAAAATTACCTGTTACTCGCAATTTTTGAATGAAGACAATTTGTTAAATTTCTTCTGCATGCGATTCAATAAATTTTTTTCATAGATCAAGTTATATTATAAGGTAAAGAAATCACGAGTAGACTACAACATCCGCTGATGACACTAATATTACGTTGAATATATTTAAATAATGGAGGTTTCATTATGCACACGCACATTACAGATTCCGTTAAATAAATACTAAGGCACGTTTTAGTTTAATGACAGTCTCTAGTTTTTATTAATGAATATGTATTTTTCTTTATAAAACAAGACAAACTAGTATATAAAAACCTTTTATATTTCTATTCTCTCTAAATTGTTTAAAGTTCGAATATGGATTGTATTTTGAAGGACAAAAGATTTCCTTTAAAAACTTTTAAATCTTGGGACTTTGCCGATGCTTTGCCGATGCGATGATCACAGAAAAAGAAAAGGCTTACGTTATTAAAATCAAATGTAAGTTATGTGATCTTCATCAAAATAAAATATAATCCTAAAACAATTGTGCCATAAGGGCAGCCGCCCTATGGTTTATAAATAACACAAGTCATGTTAAAATATTTTAACATGTTACTATATTTAATTTAAGTTGATATATAAATAAAAATAAAAATATAGTTTAATAAATAAATTAAATTTGTTCTTAACAAAGATTACCTCATATTTATTCTTTTTTTATTTTATTAAGTTATATTGCTTACAAACGAAGAAAAAATAGATTTTTTTTTTTTGTAACTATACGTAGAATGAAAATACTTTTGAGTTTGTTTATAAGTTAAGGAACTTAATTTTTAATAAACAAATTTTTACGAACGTTTATTATAAACAGATACGATTCAAATTATTAAATATACTTATATTATTTTAGTTAAGTATTTTTTTAAGTTTGCATGATTAAAGTTTTGCGGAGAAGTATTTGTTTTTTGTTTTAAGAATAATTAACAAAAGAGTTTGCATAATTAAGACTTTTATATTTAATTTAATTTTTTTTCAATTTCCTAAAATTTAAAAAAAAAAGATTTCATCATTAAAAACGATCTCTATAGCTCTGTTTCTTTGTGATTTGTTTAAAATGTAAAACATTTTTACAATAACATAAAAAATTTATGAATTAAATTCCTGGCGAACGCGTTCTAAACTATGTATTAAAAATATGCTAAAGGCAGACAAAACGTTTTTATATTTTTATAAAAGGCAAGTTGAAACGCTAAGCAAGATAAGTTTAAAAGAATATTCTTTCCTAAATTAGTCTTTGCTTTCAAAACAAAATCGCTGTTTAAATAATTAACATAGGTTTTTGTTTATCAATGTTAATATTTTTTGTTTACTCCAGAAATTTTTAAAAATAAAAAAAAATCATTATTTTTTTATTCAATAACGATTTATAAACAATTATTCAAAAACAAATTTCAGAAATAAATAAAATATATATATACATATTTTTTTTTACTAAATAATATTGAACTAAAATTAATAATAAGATAACAATTGAAAACATTCAGGCTTGGTCGGGAAGCGGGAGCGATCGCTCTCGATTGCTGACCACGTAAATAATATTTAGTTGCGAAAAGCTGGCCAGATTTTTCATTTGTTTTGAGAACATTTTAAAAAGCAAAAAAAAAAAAGCGACGAAGATTAATTGGACCGACGAGAGACAATTACAAAAAAATAAAAAATAGGAAAATAAAATATCTTTAAACGCGAAAAAATTTAAAGCTAAATAAATTACATTAAAAACAAATATTTTCGAAACATCGCTCTTTTATAATTTTTTTTATAAAATTAAGCAATGTTTTTTATAGAAACATCAACTTTTTATAGAAACATACAACCGTCAACTTAAAAGATTGTTTAAAAGGAAAACAAATATTCTTTATTTAACTAAGTTTGCAAGTTTTAG